CTGGGTCAACAAAGTACACCACCGACTGACCCACACACCCTAATCGACGGTCTTTGTGCATTTTTTATTTAATTTAAAACCGCGGTTTCTTTACCTGCGGCGAGTTTGTGGTTGTTGCATATCGTATGGGAAAGGGTGAGATAAACTCCTTCCGCTTTATGCGGCGAAATACCTGTAATTGCTTTCACGTACTGCTCTCATGCCACCGCGGCTAAATATTGACAAGAAAAAAAACGTTGAGGCTTGGCGTTGGATGTTCCTATTATTACCATTTCTCATATCATGCACAGCTCTTGTTAGCGTAAAGCTCATGTAAAGACTGAGAGAGCACATTCTAGTGCCATTTGGTGGATCATTGTCTCGGACACGATTGACGTCAGTGACACTTGCACTCACAGTACTTCATTTGTAAACCTTACGTTCCAAGAAGTTCTTAATCAGGGCGAGGATACGATCACTGCCCCATGAAAAGCTGGTCGTAATTACTTTTAGTCATCAATAAATCCTTTCACGGGATCATTCACAACTACACCTCCAATTGTTTCATTTGGGAGCCAAAAAACGTACGCACTCGTAATTACTTTGGACTCCCTCGCGTTCCGTTGTTCAGATAGGCGCTAAATGATTGCATTGAATTACCACAGGAGTGGACTTTGTGCTGTGCAAATAGAATTGTTTGCACACTGACCTCTGCGTGGCAATCAAATCTCATCATCGAGATCTGGTTTATAGGGAGTAGTCTGTGGTGAAAAATCTATTGAAGTTCATGTGCGCTAACCTCGTCTTTATTTCCAAGGTTACAATGGCGAGATATGAAGACGCCATCAACGCCATAATGGATCCGAATCCGTGCATAGATGGTCGTAAAGCCAACGTTAATCTGGCTGTTTTGGGCGCCAAACCAAGAACCATTGCTGGAGGTAATTTACAGGCATGGTGTTAATCCTTTAAACAAATTAACGTACTCTGTTCGGTCGTTGGACGTCTACCTTGTAGCTGCTGGCAACAGAGCTTATTGGTATGACAGTCTGTTGAGGTGTTGGTTTGCTAACAGAGTCCTTACATGTGAACAACAATGAATGCCTGCAGAAAGGGAATGTAAATCGGCACACTACGAGTGGAGTCTCAGTTCCCGCGGTAGAAATAAAGTTGGTGAACATTGTGCTAGGATCATGTCCGTTGGATTTGCACAACCAACGCGCTGTAGATCATCTGATTGTTGTATAAGATGCAGTCAGCTTCAATCGATGGTGCCCTCGAACATGCCTTGTTGATGTTCCAAGCGCTGCACTCCACGCCGAGCTGCCTCGCTTGCCTTTGGTAATGACATACTTCATCTATTTAGCTTTTTAATAAGTAAATTTTCGACGACTTGGGATTTATAATAGAGGATTCACCCGCTTAGACCTTGGTAAAAAGGTTGGCTGCAACTTCTGCTTTCGATCGTAGAAGTGCCCAAGTCATGGGAATTTAGTCGTGCTACGACCAACCAAAGCCCTCAGAACGGTCAACTGTTGTAAAGCCAACGGAACCTAGCGATGTATCCCGAATTTAGTCATGATTGTTGCCTGCCGGCATGGATGGTCGTGCAAGCCCTCGTGAGTCACTTGAAGCGATTGGCTTCTGCGGGTAACTTTGTTACCAAGGTCTGTAGTTTTGAGTGCACCCGCATTTCGATGCCTTCATAATACTTACGTATTCGCTCGTTACTACTTCTACTGTTCTGCTGGTCCTTCAGTACCTCATACACTACCTTCCCCGCCATGTTGTGAGTTTGCTTGTGGAGGCCTCATTGGTGTGGGTGACTCCCCATCAGCTGGTTCTACTAAATAACTGACCGCTGTCTTCCTTTCTTGCTTTAGTAACGAACACTGCGAATCTTTTGGCACTGGCAGGCGCGTGAGTTTGAGTTTTTCATCACCCACTTTGGAGAATTTTCATTTTTGTGTCACAAGCCATGAAAAAGTGAACTTTCACAAAATCCATGTGGTCCGCACTGCTATTTTCTGGTAAAGCGTGTTGAAAGTAAACGATACATTTTAGTTTTGTTCACAATCAGGGAGGTGGAAATACGTAAGCTAACCTAGCAACGGGAACACCAGAAATTATCTTTACAATTTTGGTAGACATTTCATATGTTAGCTTTGATTTTGGAGTTGTCTCCGGTGGTTATTTTCAAATTTCTTCGGTTTTTTAGTGAGGTTGTAAGTTATTATTTGCTGATCGAGGGTGTAAGTGTTTGTTTATGGGAAAAATCCCATTTGGTAACTTTTGGATGCACCTCAATCGTGTCATCAAAAGATCCTGTGTTACCTAATCGCTTATGTGTAATTTGCTTACATCTCTCTGTACTGAAATGGTTAACGCAACAGTAAAGTAGAGATGAAATTCTGCTCAATAGCCTCAAGCACATTAACAATCCTCAAGTGTCAACAGTGTTTACTGGCACCCTGCTTTTGACTGAAGGCATTACTTTTTGCTTAGCACATTGTAGGCGGACACCTGATTTATCTTTCTACTATATTGAGAAATGTAAAATTTTCTTAGGTAATCTCATGTGACTGCTGGTGCAACTAAAGGTAGTTATTGTGGATTCTGCTTGAAAGTCTTGCAGTGGTTTCTCTCTTGCCTTCTGTCTACCCGCATAATGTTAAAATCTTTTTGCGCTTTGAAATAACTGCCTTCGTTATGGAGCGTGCATTTGTGCTGGTAATTCCGGCAGTTTGTTGTACGGCTTCTGGCATGATTTGTCTGTTGCCATTCCCTTGCTCTTCATTTCAATTACTGGAGCGTTTCAGTGAAGTCTCCAATAGTCTTACTACCATTATCCCGTTCTTCAATTTGCTGCTCTTCGATTCGGCACTTAAATGTTAGGCCTTTAGAGCATGCTAATCTACGGTTCGCATCTTCATTTACATTCATCTCTCACCTTTGATACGTAGCATGCTACAACTTTCCGCCCTCCATAATTTCGCTGACTCCGGAAGAAACTCCTCCCTTGTTGAAACGGAGTCGTGATCCTCTGCATTGGCCAACAATCGCGGCGAATATGTGAAAGCAACGCTATTTAGGCACGATAGGCAGTTAAATTAGTAATTTATTTTTCGTTCAAAGCAATACCATTTACTGCAATGATACACGAGATGGCTGTTTCATCAGGTAAGCTTTTGCAAAACATTTACGATGACGACAGCGACTTTTAAAAGAATTACTTACAATTGCATCCTCTAGGTTTTTTTTCTCGCAGCATGTGTTCACACCAGTAAGGTAGAGGGTAGAAAAAATAAATACGAAGCTAAGTTTGACAGCATTGCAAAATGCAGAAGTCATTACTACTGGAGAAACTTACAGTATGTCAGCAATTGCTTCAGCATTAGAATAGCAAT